GCTAAATGTATCAAAAGTTTGTCTATGTGATATTAGAATTTTCTGAGACAATGAATTTTGGTTTTTCATTTTTTTCCATTTAATAGAATTTTTGGACAAAAAAATCGCAATATATTGCCTTGCTTACAGTATCACAATATATCGGGATATATCGTATCGTGAACCCTCTGTTATGATATGTATCATATCGCCAAATTCTTGTCAATACACAGCCCTACTAACTACAAATACTTTGTTACTGTACTTAAGGAGAAAATTAGGGTATCTGTACTTTACTTGAGTATTTATTTTTCAGCCTACTTTTTACTTTTACTTCTTACATTTTCACACAGTTATCTGTACTTTCTACCCCTTACATTTTTTAAAAAGGTAAGAAGTAGAATGTCATTTCTCCTATTTTGTTTCAGCTTGTTAGTGTTAAAAAATTCTATCCTGATAAACTGTGTATCCAGGATAGAGTGAATTTAATTGTAGTTGGATGAGAAGCATAAATGTGTACCCTTCTGATACAGTATTAATTTGTACACAGTCCATCACAGCTGCATGTTTTTAGAAAAAATATTTTTTGGAGGTCACCTCCCAATAAATGTATTTTGGAAAATCTAACCACTCACTATTACTCAATACTTTTACTTTAAATACTTGAGTAGATTTAATGTCAGAAATTTACTTTTGATACTTGTACAAAAAAATCTGATACTTTAAGACTTTTAATCAAGTAATATTCTGAGGAGACTTTAACTTTTACCAAAGTAATTCTTATAATATACTTGTACTTTTACTCCAGTGTCACTTTGAGGTACTTTATACAACACTGACTGTGCATCATTTCTTCTAAAAAAAGATTAATCCCATAATATTTTTCAGCTCCGTTAACACACAGAGATGACAGAGAATAGTTTCCTGTTCTTCACCCTCACCTGCAGGTCGTCCATCTGTGTGAAACAGTCCTGATTCTCCAAATCTTCCCGATATGACAGCAATTCTGACTCAGCCATGTCCCTGTCCGCCATAACCAGCATGCCTAGCTGTTCCCGCTGCCGCAGCCGGTTGACCAGCTTCTCTTTTGTTAGACTGCTGGTCCCGCTCAATCCTAGCGGCTTCCTCCCCAAGTTGCTGCTGGAGAAATTCTCTCTGGAGGTCCACCTGGCGGTTCCAGCGCTGCCTCCTGTAGACAGGCTTTTGTCTGAGCTCAGGCCTTCTGAGGACAGGCTCTTTGTGCTCGCGGACAGTTTGTGGAGTTGTTGCTGCTCCAGGCTCAGAGGAACAGACATGGCCTTGTCAGGCCGAGTCTGAAACAGTTCTGGGTTGGGTTTGTGTTTTTTAGCTAGTGGGAGGTCTCTTTGGCCCTCGCTGCTGTAACAGTTGGAGGGCTCTGACCTGGGTCTTCTCAAGTCTGAAAAAAAAAACAACCCATAGCTGAATAAAATCACAAACACTATGATCATAACAAAACGTTCCAGTCACTGACTCTGCTGACCTGGATTGAAGCTAGCAGTGCTGGATGTAGTAGTTGTGATGGCAGGACCTCCTTTCTTTCCACTGGGKGCTACTATGCTCTCATTTGCCCAGCTGACCATCCAGCTGTCCGTGGTGGGTGCGTCAGGGGCTGGAGAGAAAGACATGTGACTTGTGGGTGGTAGAGGTGCTGATGGTTGTTGTTCTTCCCTCTGTAGCTGCTCCAAACACTCAGCCAATTTGGTGTGGCCACGAGAGCGTGCGATGGACAAGGGTAAGCGGCCCAGAGAGTCTGGGATAGCTAGGGCACGTCTGTCCCATTTATACAAGACCACTGCTGCCTCCAAGTGACCCAGAGCACACGCCCACATCTGGGTGGAAAGCAGACAAGAAAAGAAACATTTCAAAAGCTCTGCAATCTATCCATTTCTGCTCACACTGTTAACCTTATGTCTCTTACCAGAGGAGTGCAGGAGAAGTGATCCACATTGAGAGGGTCCACCTCTAGCTCCAAATCAATACTGTCAGCATGCTTAGTACTGGATAAGAAGGAGACAACAATAAGCTTCTGTCTGGTTTTTTTGGTGTGGTGTACTCCTATCATAAACCACAGAACCATTATGCAGTTTGTGGATAATTTCCTTCTCACCGCCATTTGATGAGTGTCTGAATGAGGGTGGCATAGCCCTGGCCAGCAGCCAGGTGAAGGAGTGTCATCCCTCTGAAGGTCTTAGAGTGGATTAAATGTTTGGACTTGGCCCAGCAAGCTCTGCTCATCATCTTCTCACAGACCACCACCACACGGCTCTCAAAGGAGCTGCTGGCCTGCGTTTGGCCGGACACGCACTAAAAATACCAAAGAAAAGCAAACTGTCATCTCATGAGCAAAAACATCCATTGTGGCTATAAAGGTGCAATATGTTACGCAGCGACAGCAAAGCCCGACGAGCTTGCTGTGTGCTCCRTCACGAGCACAATGGAGAGCATGATGCTGCTTTTTTACCTGCGACTGGCTGTTGTTGCCTCCTCCAACGCCTCCACTACTGCCTCCTCCTCCTCCCCCGGTTCCTCCCCCAGCTCCGCCACTCCCTGCGCTGCTCGACTGCTGGTGGCTGGCCATCTCTGCCATCCTCCTCTCCATCTGCTCCAAGCGCTCCAGGATAGACATTCTGAACTGGTTATCTGGGAAAGTAGTGAAACACAGAAGAGGAACATGTCAGCGCACGAGTAACAACAGAAAAGAATATGTCAGGGTGCTAGCTCCAGAACTAACAACCCCAAATTCTGACAAGACAAATGATTACACTGTAGGTATGCAGAACAATCTGCACCAATAAGTTATTCAGATGAGACTTTAGACTAAGGAAGTGGCATGGTGCTTAACACTTCTAATGTCACGATGACCCCTGAGCGTCAGTTTTAACTGAGTACTTGAGGTCATTTTGACCTAAGGGCAGCAGGAAGTTACTATTATGAGGAGTAAAATCAGAGAACAGGGTCACAGCTAATCATTTTTAATCTATTTTCTTTACACCAACAGATTCAACAGACTTAACAGAGACAGTTTAACCATACAGAATATTGCCCAACGATCACACAGTGCGTCAGACCATCTTTAGTGACAGTGTACAGCTGAAGGCCCTCTCTGGTTGAGTAGGTACACCCTGCCATGGCCCTGTTCCATGCACCTGTTTGGAAGAATCTGACAGTACAGCTCAAATCAAAATGTATGCACTCATCTAGTCCTTGACAATACAGCTTTTTTATACACCAAAGCAGGAGGTGCATTTAATGAATAAGGTATAGAGTTGTTTCAGAAGTAACTACTATAGTGTGCTCTGTAAGAATATTTTCAATGTTTCTTTATACCACTTGCAACGACAAAAGCTATCTTTTACAGTAAGATATCCATTTTAATAACACATTGCAGAAACTTCCACCAGTATAACTTTTCTGGAAAACTGAGAGATCTTGAAAATTTAATTTATTTTCAGATCCCCATGTCAATCAACATGACAATACAGTCAGTGATAAGGTTCTACTAATGTTAATAAGCATTTGTAAAATTGGTTTTGAATTTTGAATGATGTCTCAGACTGAGACTGATGAGACAGACTCTTTTTTAAATGAAGATCGATGCCCCTATCAATTCAGCTCATACTGTAGACCTTTCTAAGCTGATTGATTGGGGAAATAAAAGCCTTGTAAATAAGTAGCTTGTAAATAATTTAGATGTTTATGATGCTTAATGTTCTGTCTGATCAAGGCAACATGACGAGAAACAAGTCTGTAGTCAGAACAATATGTGCAATGAAAAAGATCTTCCAGGGAAATACATTGGATGCTAACTTATTCATACATGAGGCAGACTGTCAAATAACTCCTCACAGCTTTGGCTACTGGCGTTTGACTACAGGCATGAGCAGGTATAGTAGATGACCTGAAGTCAGGAGAATAAATAGGATGTTTTCCGTCACACTTTATGAAGTGTACTCTCTGTGCCAGTAACCTGTGAACAAAGCCACCCAGRACTGAATGATGGTTGAGAAGCATGTGGCAGAATGAAGACTTACTGTACATAACACCTGTGCCTCATGACCACAGGATCTAAGTGCTGCACCCCCAGCAATCTCCCAGAACAAGAACTAATGTACATCACAGTGGCAGGCATCCAAGACAAAGTCTTAYGTGTAAAAAGCACGAGTGCACCAGGGCTTGATAAGATCCACAACTACTGGTTAAAAGAAAAAGACTGAAATCTTTGAAAACCTAGCAGCACAAATCAGCTGCTAATGAGTGGGAACCACCAAAAGTGGTTGACCCAAGGCAAGACAGATCTGAAGGACCTTCAAAAAAGGGGAAACACCATCTAACCACTGGTTGATCATCTGCCCCTATACAAGATGGAAACTACTGTCAGGTATCCTGTAAGATGCAGCCAGGTATAGTGTACATGGAATACCAGAACCMCATGGAATAGCACACAGGAAAATCTAGACTACAGAGTACAAGCTGGAGGTCCTACAGTTCAAGTAGAAGACTCTATCAAGTGTGGTGGAGGATGACAAGGCTACAATACTGTGGGGTTTCTGGACTGAGACTGACATACTTGACAGATGGAGCAATCTCAAGCATCTGTAACATTAAGAAGAAAGAACATGCGAGGCTAAAAAAATACCAAGGGCTGAAAGAAGAAATAGAGAAGTTGTGAAAAAGTAAGGCCTCCATAGTGCAAGAGGTTATCGCAGCACTACAATCCCTAAACTGGAAGAGAGACTTCAGGAACAAACTTAGAGATGTAATGTAAAACTCCCCTTGATCTGTCTCTAATGTACCTATGCTTATTGGTAATAAACAGCAATTATTATTTTAATATTTTAAATTTTACCTTTATTTAACCAAGCAAATCCCATTGAGATTGCAGATCTCTTGCAAGGGTGGACTGGGCCTGAAGCCAACCTATTGTACATGTTTTTGGGGTGTGGGGGAAAACGGAGTACCTGGAAAACAACAAATGCAAGTGCGAAGAGAACATACATACTCTGCACAGAAAGACCCCAGGTCCGAACAGGGGATTGAACCCAGGACCTTCTTTCTGTGAGGCGACAGTGCTAACCACTGAGCCACCGTGCTGCCAAGTTGGTTATTGTGTTGCTAGTGTATGTTGTCCAAACATCCCTGAAGAAATWCTTTGATTGATGGGAACTGGTGGGTCATCATTTGAAGCTGCTGTTTTACAACACTTTTAGTCTTGTAAATCATTGGGCCTCATGTGAACCGTTCGTACGCACAGATTTGTTCTTAAGTCGTGCATACGAGTGATTTAGGAGAATTTGTGGCATTCACCAATGTTTTCGTATTCTAAGATTTTCTTCAGATACGAACAAAATTCATGTGTGGTCCAGACCTGTCGTATATTTTACGTGCAGTCAGTCATGCTATTATCCAGGCAGATTTTCCTCCCTAATAACTTTATATTTCCTTAGTTTGGAGATATTTCGAGTTGAAAATAAATCACACTCCATAATTATGTTGAAAATAGGCTGTTCTGTTTGAATTAGAATTAGAATTTTAAATGTAATTAACGATACAAATTGGTTAAATTAAATTACATTGGCCATTAATGCTGTTGTGTAACACTACAATATTAATATGAAGTTAATTGAAGTTTGGAGACATGTTAAAATGTTTTTTTTCCCCAGAAATACATCCGACACGTGCGGCGTGGGGGGCGGGTGTGAATTGGTGATGGGGGATGGTGGGGGGTAGCGGTGTGCGACTGCTCTTCTTCTGAATAAATGAAAAAGTCTAACACAATTGTTTACACTTGAATTAAAAGTATTTGACTAAAGGAAAACCGGAGTAGGACTAGAGAGAGATGAATATGATTTAGATTTTTATTTCTGTGACTGTAACGACCCACAGGAGACAYGGCATTAAYAGCAGTCGTCATTTCATTCCATTAAGCAGCTCCTTTAATTCCACAGCTGACGCTGCTAAAAATGACAGATTTTCTTTTCTTGATCCCTGACAGCAGGACTTTAATCTCCGAACTCGTAAATTTCTTCTTTTTAATTTTCGCTGTCATTTTCATGAATGAACAGTTCCTGGTATCTGAGGTAGGAAACATAGCCTTATATGGTGTTTTTGGGGTGATAATAATGCTAATCTCCTCTCGCGTGCACAAGCAACTGGATACAAACAGGTGTAATTCATCATGTTTACGCAGCTCATTTACACACTTTTCTTGAAGATAGAAGAGTTTRTTGAATCTGACGTGGCATGTTTGTACGAACCCTTCATGTGAACAAAAGTAAGAGAAATTTAGGATAAGAATATGAACATGTTCTTGCATGAGGCCCAACGAAATTGGACAGATTTATCTTTCGGTTTGCCCTTAAGGACACTCATAATGGGCTCTCCCACTGACACATTCAGCTGTTTTTAGCTCAGTATTATTTCACACCGTCCTATGCACTTCTTTCACACTTTAGTTTATAATAAATGTTATTATTTACAATAAATTAGGTTTGTTTGTAAGTAGAGGGTGTTCCAAAATGTTTTATAATTTAGCGCTGCTGTCCTGTAGTATCAAATTATTATTTTTTACCAATTAATTCAGAAGGTACTCTTTTGCCAGGTAGCCTTTAAACACAATAATGAGTTCCAAAAAGAACATCTTGTTAAATAAAGATCAAATAAACATAAATGCACTCATCTACAAACACAAACAGACACTTGTGAGCATGACTGTGCATGCACACACACAGAGTATGCTGTGCACAGACAGTGGATGGGGATGGGCACAGAGAGCCCACTGCAGCAGGGAGTATAGAAGACTGCATTAGCATTCCCCATTTAGCTACTATGAGGCCGTTTCTGTGGCAACCTGCTGCCGAGCGGTAACTAGGCGACAGGAAGATGGCCGTGTGTATATGGCCTGCCTTGTGTGCTATTGGCTTATTGATGAAGGGGAGRAGAAGTCAGTTCATAAGAAAGAAAAAACAGGAGAAAGGCGAACAATGAACACATACTCTATAAACCTTTCCTTGTGTGGTTTTTTCTGTGTTGACGCCCCGATGGGGACCTGATGGGGACCTGATGGCTCTGAGTGGGGAGTCTTCACAGCATGACCTGGTGACATTTGTGCTTCACCGCACCTTTGGAGTCTCACCCAAAGGCTCCATAGAGAGCTAATGTCACACAATAGGTTGCTGTAAAAGAGGTCAAGTAGCTTATATCGATAGGAAACAAAGCGTAACGCCTCTGGCTGGTAAACTGCTGCTGTCAGTGACAGGACTGTGAATAACGAGACTGAACAAACCAAAATCAGGCCCCTGCCTTTAACTCCTCTGTGTTTCGCAAGACTACTTAATCGAGCATCACAGATCACTCTCAGATCAGCTTAGCGTGTTTGCGGAGCTTCTTGCTACGTGGCATCCACCCTCAATTATCAACACATGGGCTGGATAGGTGAGGAGTCAGAGTGCACGAGCCAATGGGCAGAGCTAAGAACCTGCCTCGATACAATAAGCCCTTCCTTTCCTTTCAGCTGTTATGTGCTGAGGAGCACAGACGGAGCCATGGAGGGGGAAAGGGGGAATAGTTAGCAGCAGGCTGACATGTCTTTGTTCAGACCCAGTACTGCAGTGTGCTGCAGTGCAGATGATGTCATCTCCACC